TACCCATGGTGGTAATCCTACATTTGAGGTTTTGAGTTGGAATTTAGGAACACACCTTAGCTCCTAAGCAGAGTTAGCATATATTTAGGCAGGACTGGTGCCGGAGGAGTTGCTGTAGCTTTTCAATTTCAAATAGCAATTGATTTGTCAATGACTATCTCATTTGCCATGTTTCTTTATGCTTGGAACAGGTGAATGAAATAGAAAAAAGCATAGGTGGATGGTCATTGGAACTCCCTCCCACTGGAGGCCTGGCTGCCCCTATCTTTGCTATCCTTCTGCAAGCATGCAAAGACCTTTCTCTTCAGGCAAGCCTTCCCTCAGTAAACCAGTTACTTGTGCGTGATTTTTAGATAGATTGTTATACATTATTGCTTTGACTGGACTTTTAGTACTTTGTCTTTTCAATTTTTGTGTTTTCTATTTCTCAGAGTGACTTTTTTATATATTTAGTGATCTTTGCCTTAATATTGCCTGTTAATGTTCTAAGATGCCCCTTTATTCAATGTTCATCATTTTAAATATTATCTTTTAATGATGCTTGCATACTCATTGTTTTCAACTTTTAATTAGTGTCTTCCATTGTTTGTAAGCCACTTTGGATCCTTTTTCAAGGAGAAAGGTGGGGTAAAATATCTTAATAATATTAATATTAATATCTTAATAATATTAATATTAATATCTATATTAATATTGATATTGATATTGATATTATTGATATTATTATTGATATTATTATTGATATTATTATTATTATTATTATTATTATTATTATTATTATTATTATTAATAATAATAATAATAATAATAATAATAATAATAATAATAATAATAATAATAATAATAATAATAATAATAATAATAATAATAATAATAATAATAATAATAATAATAATAATAATAATAATAATAATAATAATAATAATAATAATAATAATAATAATAATAATAATAATAAATGATCCATGCACATTAGCCAAATTGAGAGGTTCATTCTCATCATGTTAGAATCCTGCATTAGGCCAATCTAGCTATGCAGAATCTTTCAGATACATTAGAAATCAAAGAGCTTTTTAGCTTTCTGCCTTCTTTATGCATCTAATTGTATGATTTGCAGAAAAGTATTTTACTCTGCATATGTTTTAACAGTAACTATAGTAGTACAGATCTTGCCTGCCACTATTCCCTATATAGCTTCCAGATGTTATCAAAGACATCCACCTGTTTCCAGGCTGAGAGAAACCTTGAAAGCTTTCCCTTAACCAGCCTGATCAAGGTTAATGAGGCCACATACGTTCACTTGCTTAGCTGTGCTGCTTTCTCTTGAGACCAGTAAAATTAGAATAGGGTAAAACTTTCACCCACCTGGTTTTTATTCACGCAGAAATCTACTAAAATCCAAACGAGAATTAAAGTTCACTGAAAATTTATCCAAAATGTGCAGAGGCTTCATGAGCTGTCCCAGAGCATCTCAGAGGGCTGCATATCTTCTGAAATCCAGTCAACCAGTGCCTTTTACAATAACTGCCATGACTTTTACTGAACCGGAATAACTATGAAACATGTTAAATAACGGGAGTGGTGGAAGAACTAATAGAGTGCCAGCAGAAGGGTTTCATAGTGATAATAGTCTTCATCAACAACGAAAAGGTCAGCTTTCTGCTATTCTCTGCTGGCCTTCATACACATGTAACAGCCTGACCTGTTAAAACGAATCTAACAGAAGTACTTTCTAATGGGTGAGGTAGGAGTGGTGGATGAAGGGGGTGTTGTTATGGAGTAGTATCAGGTGAGGAGACTGCCCTGCCCTGATCTCTGCCCACTGGATACATCGGTTGAGTTGTTTGGGGCTTTGATCCCAGGGTGTTTTAAAAAGGAGAAGCAGCAATGACCTGAAAGCAGCATTCGTGATATTTTTCTGTCACATTTGTCAATCAGAAAGAGACATGGATAGCAACGGACTCATCCATCTGTCCTTCTTTTTGAGTTTTTGCCGAACTGCTTCAGGTTGTAAATTATCTGAAAATGACCTTGATATTGACTTTGATGATTAGGTAAGATGAGACCAGGGCCCAAGGCAGAATCTTGCAGAAGCTGAGAAATAACTAACAGGTGAATAAAGAGCTTTCAGTGATCATTGTACAGAGACAAGAAATGAAAAGAGACATTTTCCCCTAGTGCACTTTATTCCTGCAAGTATCTCTACCTTTGGTCTAAGGAAGGATAGGATTTATTCTAGATTTGGTGAACTTTGGATTCTCAAATTGAAATATGAGATTTGATGGCATCTAAAAATTTCTCAGTCAGTCCCCAACACCTGCAATTATGAGGCCAGAACTCTCCACGTATTAGTCAATAAATCTTCCTGTATACACTGTCTTGAATTTTGATTCAAGTGGCAGATTTTAGGACTCACCTGAGACACACAAGTCAGGATTCATATGTTTTAATTAATATAAAGCTAAAGATCAATATCAGAAGCCTGTTCTTCCTCTAGTCCTAGTTAGCAAAACAGGAGCTCCCACCTACTGTTCCTTGCACGATGTTCAGATTTCCTGAATGTCATTTCCTGTTCTGTATTGAGCCTCATCTTTTTCATTTTGCTCTTGTACCCATTTTCCCACCCCCTTCCCAGCTCCAACATCTTTTTCATGCCTTAATTGAGAAACTATTCCATTGATTTTATAGCAAACACCCCAATAGTGGTGTGTGCAGGAATTGTTTTTTGTAAACCATCTGCACATATGACTTACTGAAGAGAGTGTCAAAAACGAATAGTGGCAAGAATAAACAGGCAGTTTCCCAGTGTAGAAATAGGTCAGCCATGTTTTTCTTACAGCCAACACATGCTGAGGTGGATGTGAACACCAGCACTCATGTAAAATTTACAGGCTCCCCACAGTTCTGTCTTTTCCATGACATGTAACACCTATAAACACAACCAAATACGTCCCCTAATGACCCATTTCTATTATGTAGGATAGCTGGAACCAAAGATTGTGCGTTAAAGTTTCCATAGAAATTGGCAAGACAAAGAGTGATTCACTTCTCCTTAACAATGTACAAATTGCTAGGGATTAAGCATCAGTTACCTCTGGACAATCTTGTTCACCTGGGGTGGTGAGATCTGTTGTCCGACCGAGCCACCAGTGTGCATGTAACCTCTAATTCAACTTCAGGGTAATGACTGCTCCTTATAGAAATGTTAACTATGTCTGCATATGTCTTCTCCTATAGGGAGTGAGTTTTCTCAACATAAGGCTACTTCTAAAAATCTCAGGAAAACAAGCATTTCCATCATAAGAGTGATAGCCTTTCAAGTTACTTGCAATATTTTATTCATTTTTTAAAAGCTACGAACTGCTTCTTATATTGGAATATTGGCTCCTGTAGTAAATTACTTTTGGAAGTTACTATAAATCTCTTATTATGCAGAAAAATTCCAGCCCATCTGTGTTGATGCAGCTTATACATGTGAATTGTAGTGTGACAGACACTGGAGGTGGCTGACTTCTGTGTGAACCACTTTAGTGCTTAGTTCTGAAAACTTTTACTGTATTCTTGGCTAGCCCTGGTCCTACTTTGAGTCCACAGTGATATGATGCAATTTGCTAGAACTAGATGGCAAACCATTTTATATAAATGGCTTATAATGTGGAGCAATCACTATATAGTTGTTTGTTAAGTGGTCACCATGCATCATATAGTCATTGCTAGTATGAAAGAGACCTAAAAATATACTGTATAGGTTTTGTTTCAGCTGCTTGCATTGATTGTAATGGCACAATTATGATTACAGTTGCCAACACTTAAAAACTTGGCATGGATTTGGTGGCAGAGTCTGCAAAGAAAGCTCTCTATTGACCTAAAATGTATACTTGTTTCATGGGGCTTCACAGAGGAGTATTATCCATATTCCATCTGGACATCAGCTGGCTAAGTAAGTATGCAGATTGGGAGTTTGATTTCCCACTGTGCTGCCCAGGAGAAAAAGCCAGCCTGTGTAGTCTTCTGACCATAAGTCAGAATCTACTTGATAGCACATTATTGTTATTACCTGGATATCACATGCCAGTTGAACACATCCCGGACAACAGGGGTGCCACAAGCTGATAGAGTACGATATATAATCAAAGCAGGTGAATCCTGCAACACAGATTGTTAGTCAGATGGGTACAAACGGATGAAAATAAGCTTTCTGTTTTCCAAGAGAGGACATGCTGAGGCTGAAAGACAGCCCTGCCCAAGAAAATAGCAGGGAACTCCTAAGCCCAACTAGGCATAAACAGCCCAAGGTTATCTGTGGTGGAGCACTCTTCAGGACATATACAGTAAAGGTCCATTTTAATTCCAAGGCTGACCTGCCCAGAGAAGAGGAGTTTTAATTACAGACAACTAACATGCCAGACAACCAGCCAGCAGATAGAGGACTAGCTCTCTCTTCCTCTCTTTTTATTCCATGCTCCTTTTCCCTTTGAGGAGTGGCTTCTTTTATTGTTACTGATTGTGATGGGGAAAAGTCAGTTTCAATAGCCTCAGTTCAGTTGTAAGTGCCAAGTAGCATAGGCCCATTGAATCAACAGGACTGTTGTTACCTCAACAACTGTGCAGGTTTCATTGGGTTTACTTTGTTTGAGACTCAGAATTGGGTTGACTTTCTGTCATCTTGAGGTGTTCCTTTCTCTGTTTCCTAAGCAGAGAGTGGTATCAGGGTATAGTGGAAATGTCAGATGAAGTAGGTATAGGACGTATCTGACTCTGTTGTAACCTTCCTTGAATTTGGAGTATGTAGGGTTACAATGGGTTATCTTTGTACACCCTGAAACTGTGGCCACAAATTCATATGCACAGGCATAGGGCAATTCCCACAGTTTAACCCATTCTACTAAGGGCAGAAAACATACCCACTTAAATAATATGAGGTGAAATGAAGCATTTATGAGGAAGTTCATATTGGCAGTTTATGTTTGCTGATAACGTATTCTCTTTATTTTTCACAGGTGGCCGTGATAAACGAGGGGGTCCCATCCTGACATTTCCAGCTCGCAGCAATCATGACAGAATAAGGCAGGAAGACCTTCGGAAACTTGTGACTTACTTGGCCAGTGTACCAAGGTAAAAGTTCAAAGGAAGAGCATTGGTGTTGAGGAAATGTTCCTTGCAAGCTGCTTATGTCCACATATTATACTTGGGATTTTTTTTGCATGCACTAGAAAGGAAAACAGCAGGTCTCTCTTTTATGCATATACCAGTCATATCTTATCTAGCCCAGTGTAGTAGAACACAGATACATGCTCACATAATCACATGTGAGAAGAATACAGCCTGACTCACATGAAGAGGATTAGGTTTTGTGGCATCCATTTGTATGGGTGTGGTACTCATGTACATAACCACCAAGAAGTGAAACCACCATCAGAAGCAGGTGCATGGTTAATTCACTCCCATTTTTATTCTTTTAACTTTTATTTTGTTCAGGTTACTTCTTCATTCTCTGATAAATTGGGATTTTATTCATTATATTGCACATTGATTTGGTAAATGTACTCATGTACTTTCTTCTTGCATGCTTTGAAAGACTGGTGGAATATTCATGTCCAGTTTTTAGCTATCTCTAGATGCAAATGGGATCAGAGGGAAATATTCTAACTTAACATAGTTCAGGGATGAAGAATGGGTGGTCCTCTATATATTGCTATGCTAATCCATCAAGCAGTATTGCCTGTGACTGATGGAAATAGCCACTTAAAAACATATGGAGGTCCATATGGAGCTAGTATACTATAGTAGTTAAAGTCAGATTCAACTCTCCACTTCACCATGATGTACACTTACTGCCCCTGGAGCAGCCTTCTTGAGCTCATTGAAGGAAAAGCGAGATATAAATGATATGCTTGCATATACACATACCACAAATCTCCATCTTGGAGAATTCAGTAATGTCAATAAAATAAGTAAGGAACATGGACTAAAAATGAACATTAAGATTCTCCACAACAGGCCCACACAAAACCTTCTCTTTTGCAGGGAGGGAAAATCCTAAAATATAAAGACTAACTAACCCAAAACTTACAACTAAAATCAAAAGTAGAACTACAACTACAAAGCTTTAAAGTAGATTGGTCGCTAGATATGCAAATAAAATCCTGGTTCAACAATGGTAAAAAGCAACATGGTTTTTTAAATCAAGAAGTCTATTTTGATAAAATAATTTTCACATCTAATGGAAAATTAACTTTAAAATCTATAATTACTTATTGGCTAGACAGACAGAAGGTGAGATACTAAAAGATTGTATGGTGAGATGGGCTCAGAATATTGGTTCAGAAATTTCTTTGGTAGAATGGGAAAATTATGGAAGATTAATGTTAGGATCACAAAGTCAATAACACTTATAGAAGACCTATATAAAATGCTTTATAGGTGGTACTTAACTCCTGAAAAAAAATTGTCTGAAATGTATAAAGCATCCAGTATTTGTTGGAAATGTAATGAAGAAAGGGGATCTTTTTTTCATATGTGGTGGATGTGTAAGAAAGAAGTTATTGGGGTAGAGTACAAACATTTATATCACAATGTTAGTTAATCTTGAGCTGAAACCAGAAACATTTCTACTGTCTATGAGTCAACAAAATATGGACGAACATCAGAAATTTATAATGATTCATATTATTATGTTGGCTAGAATGATATATGCACAACTATGAAAGACAAACAAAATCCATAATGAAGACCAACTAACAATGAAGGTGTTGAACTGTGCAGAAATGGATAAGATCTCAACATTACTGAAAGAAAATGGACATTATGAGGACTATGAAGAAAGATGGTCAGAATTTTATAAATCCCTAGGTCAACATTATAAGCTAAATTAAAGATCCACCTTGCATATTAGAAATTGAAAGATGAAAATCTAAAGATATATAATTGTGTGAAAAGTTAGAGAATTTTGTTTGAGACGGGTATAATCATGCTGTCTTTACCTTTATTGTTGAAGCTTAATAAAAATTTACAAGTAATAAAAAAGAAAAACAGAATCCTGATCAGAAAAAACCAAGCAGCCCAAGAAATATAGTTAAAGATCTGGAGTGAAAACATAGAGTGGAGTCAAGATTAGAGATGGGCATGAATTAAAAAATGAATCGCCACATTCATTCCAAAATAGCTAATTTATTAATTCATATTCATATGAATCAATGCCCCAATGAATACGAATCAATTAATTTTTAGGGATTTTTGATTTGCCAATTTGTTTGGCTATAAAACAGCCCCCCAGGCACCTAGAGACCAAAATCACAGAGAAGCTTCCCATGACTCTACAATCCCTTCAAGTTTGGTGAAAATCGGATTTCCCCAAGCCAGCTGCTAAAGGGCACTTTCCTGGGGAGATCCACTTTGTGGGTACATAACTTGGATGTTTGAAACCCAATCTTCAACAAACTTTGCAGGGCTTATAGAGGAGAGTCATGAGAAACAAATTTGGTGTCTCTAGCTTCTTGGAGGGCCATTTTATAGGGTTTTAAAGTAAAAAACAAATTGACAAATTGATCAATTCATCAGGGGAAAAATAATAAATCCATAATTCATGATTCATCAATCTTGACAAATCAAAACAATTTTTTTCTGATTTGTGTCCATATCTAGTCAGGATCTTAACCACACAATAAAAGTTAGAATAGAGGTTGCTCAGAACAGCTTCCTTGCTATAAAAAAATGTAATAAGCAAAACCTAAAGTTACTTTGAGAATGCACATGATATAGTGTCATGTGTTCTTTCTGCCATGACATTACAAAACTTTACATAGGGCACTATGAAAAAGAAAAAGAGGTTTGAAATTTGAAAGTAAAAAAGTATTTATTGCCACTCACTAAGGATTTCTTGAATTGCAAGAGAGAGACTAGTGAAGAAATACTAAAGATTAAAGTCCAAGAAATCACAAAGATATGAAATACAGAAAGCTGGAGCACTTTGGCCATGTAATGAGAAATGGAAGGTACATTTTGTTCCAGATGATTATTTAAAGTAAAATAAATGGGGTAAGAATTGCTTGAAGGAGGAGAAGATGATTATTTAAAGTAAAATAAATGGGGTAAGATTTACTTGAAGGAGGAGAACATCATCATCATCATCATCTTAGAACTGCAGAGCTGGAAGGGACACTATAAATAATTGAGTCCAGCACCTGTCAAGGAGGTTCAGTAGGGAATCAAACTCCCAACCTTGGGCTCTGCAGTCAAATAGTCAGTAGGGAATCAAACTCCCAACTTCTGGGCTCTGCAGTCAAATATTAAACCTGCTATCCAGCAGTCATATTGGCTGAAGAACCTCAACAACTGGTTTGGTTGCAACATGTCACTGTTTAAGTCTGCCACATTCAAAGAAAGGATAACATTCTTTCTTTGAACATGGTGACATTCAGCCTCTGACAGGAAAAGAACAAGAGGTAGTCAGTATTAAAAAATGAGGCTAGGACTTTAGGACAAGGCTGAAGAACCTCAACAACTGGTTTGGTTGCAACATGTCACTGTTTAAGTCTGCCACATTCAAAGAAAGGATAACATTCTTTCTTTGAACATGGTGACATTCAGCCTCTGACAGGAAAGGAACAAGAGGTAGTCAGCATTAAAGAATGAGGCTATGACTTTAGGAGAAAGCCATTATCTTAAGACAGAGATCTTTCATTATGTCATTATGAACAACCCTAGTGAGGACAAATGTAACATTCAGCCCTGCCCTCACCTGTCCGTCACAGCTGGGCAGTGGAACAGCAGCCAATGAGGGGACGGAAGGTGGTGCTAAAGGAGGAGGAGCTGGGATATAAAGGGGTGTGTATGGTGTTTGAGAGATCAGTTTGAGAGATAGATAGAGTTAGAGAGTGAGATCTGGAGAGATGTAGTGTGTGAGGGAAAGAGGCCTGCGTGCCTGAGTGTCAGTGAGGGAAAGTCTATGTGATTGATTTAACTAAGTAGCAGTGATTTACACCTTGATTATCTTCCTGTGATTTACCTATTTTATTTTGTAATCAATAAACCAGTTTTTGTTTTTGAAATAAACCCTTGTCCTTTTCATTTAAAGGAAAGGTTGGTGGCAGCAAGAGTGTGTAGTAGCGTGATGGGCATTCTGAGAGGCCTGAGTAGGAGGTGACCTCAGAGTGGCCAGCTAACATTACAAGAAAGCCATTATCTTAAGACAGAGATCTTTCATTATGTCATTATGAACAACCCTAGTGAGGAAAAAAAAGACAATGCTCATTTTCAACAAAACTAGTTTGTCGTGTTGACCTTACTTTTAAAAACCTCTCTGCTTCCTACTGCAAAGTGAGACAGATTATTATCCTCATTGATGCTATCTATCAATTGACCTACATATCTTTTTTAATGGAAAGGGCAGCAGTGGCCCATTTCAATGAGCAGCATTAAAGGTAAAAAAATCGGTACCAGAATACGGTGATAAATTGAGAGGAATGAATTCAAAACACAGCTGGAGACATTCTAGGCCTTAAACATTCACCTTATTTTAACAGCTGTGTATTAAATATATGCGCAGAAGATAATGTAGACAAAAAGGTAATCCTTATACATGTATAGCTCATTTCCAGCCTTAGTTCCTATGAATGAGTAGTCTGTCATAAAGTAAGTTACTATTATTTTATCCTAACCATTAAGTGAGGAGCTCAAGATCATGTCTGTGATTCTCATTGACTAGCCAGTGGTAAAAGCAGTAGAATCAAAGTCTCCCTCACTTCAATTTAGTCTATCTTTCCCAGATATGCTTTCATTGTGATCTGTAGTACATATGCTACACTCTGTGAGCTTGGGCAGAGATCAAGATCTGTAATCAAAATTCTCAGATGCTACTGTTTACCTGCTCCTGGTAGCAACAGATAGACAACTACATCAGTGGAGAGTGCTGGGGAAGGTGTGTGTCTTTCTCAGAAGTCTGACTGATATTATTTGATCAGATCCTGCATAATAACCCCTAACTGCCTTCCTCTTGCCTCAATATCACTGCCACACTGTTACTTCTGAGTATGTCATTTCCAGAGTAAAGCATTTTGTAATTAACTGAAAATGTTCTCACACCAAGTATTGCAGTCTTCAGATGTTCTACTTCT